ACGAGAATCCATTCACCCACTAACTCATTAATCTGTGAATCCGCTAATCCACAAACAGATTAATCCATTCATGACGGTAGGACCCTCATGACCCAGTCACCTCTTAAGGGCCGCATCTCTCAGTTCTGCCATGTTGGGGATTATGGCTCAGCATGAGCTTTGGAAGGGACAAACTTCCAAAGCATAGTGCATGGGAAGCCTCTTTGAGGCATCCAAGGAAGCTACTGGCCTGGGACGGAAGCCCAAGGAGGAGGAGGAGGAGGGCACAAGGGCAGGAGACAAACCAGTGGAACCAGGTGTCCAGGCCATCAAAGACCAAGGCAGGAGCACTTCCAGGATGTGGGGAGGAGTGTGGCATGCTGCTGAGAGGGGGAGTGCAAGGGGAACTGTGCCCCTTAGCAAGGGCTGTTGCCAGGGTATGGGTGCAGAGGCCAGTGTCAAGGGGCTCAGGGGGCATGAGACGGGAGGATTGAGAGCAGGTGCACACGATTCAGTTCCTGGAATAGTGGCCGTGATGTGGAGGTGAGAACCAGGGCGGCAGGTGTCTGCAGGGAACGGGGATGGGTGGAGATGATTCTGGAGTTTCTGATTGTGAGCTAATGTTTTAAGATACAAGACACTGAGGTATGCCTAAGCGTGGATGGGAAATGTCTGCTGGAGAGAAGGAAGCAGAAGATGCCAACGGCAAAGAGATTACTCGGGGCGTGAGGCCAGGGTAGGTGGGAGTGGGAACACAGAGCCTCAGGCGGGACGAGGTAGAGAACCCCTTTCCACAGGGTGCTCGCTCTTCCCTGCTCTCCCGAAACCTGTCCTGCCCTCTTCTCTCTGCCTTTTGGAAAATCCTCCGTCTTCCATTCCCCAGAAGTCACTCCTGCTTCGCTCTTCACACCCAACCTAACCCACACTGCTCCCTCTTCCCACTGAGTGCTCGGGTCTCCCTCAGTGGTGGTGACCACCTCTAGTCCTAGCTACTTGGGAGGCTGAGGCAGGAGAGTCACTCATTATTGGCACCAGGTAATTACCAGTGTCTTTTCAAAGTGCCAAAGGCCTTAGTTGCTTCACCTGGTGGCCCAGCGGTCCAAGTGGCACTTTCTCTTTCTGTGACCCCTCAGCACCTGGCTCTGTCCTGATGGAAAGAGCTTCACAGGAGGCGGTGAAGGAGGAGATCTCGTGCTTGTGGCTTCCCTGTGCCCTCCAGACTTCAGTCCTGAATGAACACTCAGAGAGTGACAGATGTCCTGCTGCCAAGATCCATGTTGCTCATGAGGACAAGGACAGAAGGACTGAGCCTCGGCCACTGGCCATTAAGGAAAGCACAAGACAAGTGCAAAGTGGTGGGCCCAGGAGCACACGGGGCGTGGATCACCCCCTGCACCGTCCTGTGTTCGGCCTCTCACCAAACACGGCAGACTGAGAAAGGCAGGCACTCGTCTCAGCACCATTAGGAGGTGCTGAGAGCAGACGGGGTGCAAACACCACAGGGCACTCATGCCAATCCTGAGCAGGTGTTCATCAGCTGCTCAATAAAAAAAAAAAAAAGAAGAAGAAGAAAATGCAGGAAAGAGGATTGGCAGGTGGAAGAGAAATAATCAGCCCCTGGTAGCTCAGAGGCGTCCTGGGGGTCAGTGCCCAGGCAATGTGGACTGCAGGCGGTTCCCACCTTCAGATGACTTGTGAATCACACCTGCCTTTGGAATTCTTGGGGAGAGTTAGCATAGTTAGAACAGTGCCCGAAATATAGCAAACCTAAGTGTTAAATATGTTAATAAAACCATGGTAACAGTAGCTGCTCTTATCCTTCCAAAGCAAGAGTTGCAGACAAATAAACCTGAATCTGACCAGTGCATTGGCTTCCCAGAGTTATCTACAAATTAGTCATTTAAACTCTGATTGTTTTACTCTGGAAAATAAAAACACTCTTTTTTTTTTTTTTGCATTTTAGGTTTTGGGGTACATGTGAAGAACATGCAAGACTGTTGCATAGGTACACACGTGGCAGTGTGGTTTGCTGCCTTCCTCCCCCTTCACCTATGTCTGGCATTTCTCCCCATGCTATCTCTCTCAACTCCCCACCCCCCGCTGTCCCTCCCCTATTTCCCCAATAAAAACACTCTTACCTGCAGGGCAGGGTTGTTGGGGAGATAACAGAAGATACGATGGTAGAGTTGACAGAGCCCCTAGGACGCCACAGGGGAGCGGGTGCAGCCTCTGCTAGGGAAGAAGGGCCTTCAGCAAACACACACCTTCACTCCACAGTCCTCTGTACACACTGTGACGGCTGATTGTATGTTCACTTGCCTTGATCGCGGCGTCCAGATATTTAGTCTAACATTGTTCTGGATGTTTCTGTGATTGTGTTTTTCAGATGAAATAAACTTTAGATCAGCAGAGTTTTAGTAACGCAGGCAGGCCTCATCCAAGCAGCTGAAGACAATGAAGGCCTGAAGAGAATGAAAGACTCAGCTCCCCCAGCAGGAAGAAAGTTCCCAGCAGATGACCTCAGAGTGACAGGCAGCACCAGCTTCCTCCTGGGTCTGTGGCCTGCCAGCCCGCCCTGCAGATTTTGGATTAGCCAGCCTCCGCAATTCCTTAGGCTCAGTCTCTTTCTATGCACACACCGTACTGGTTCAGTTTCTCTGGAGGGCCTTGACCACAATGGATATAAAGCTCCCTCTGATTGTCAGAAGGACGCAAATGAGGCAACCTAGCCACTCCATGGGCCCAGTGGTCAAGGCAGGAAATGAGGTGGCCTCCAGTCCGCGCCAGGGCCATTTCTCAACAGTACTTTTTTTTTTGTTTTTTGAGATGGAGTCTGGATTCTTCGCCAGGGTGGATTGCAGTGGTGCAACCTCGGCTCACTGCAACCTCCACCTCGTGAGTTCAAGTGATTCTCCTGCCTCAGCCTCCCGAGTAGCTGGGACTACAGGTGCATGCCACTACACCCAGCTAATTTCTGTATTTTTAGTAGAGAGAGGGTTTCACCATGTTGGCCAAGATGGTCTCGATCTCTTGACTTCATGGTCTGCCCACCTCGGCCTCCCAGAGTGCTGGGATTACAGGCATGAGCCACCGCACGTGGCCAACAGTACTTTTTTTCTGATCATAGCTGAGCTCACATGCTGACCCCAGCGGCCTGTCTCTAAGCACTGTGACTCCAGGAAGGAAAAGCCTGGAGAGACCTTGACCAAGTCCTCAGTGGGCAGGGAGAGAATTTATTCTTTGCAAAATATATGGAGCCCTTGTTACTTATCGGATACCATGTTAGAGACCAGGGATAAAAACAAAAACAATAATGTATTTCAGGGAATCTCAAACACAGTCCATTGTAAGGCACACCATTATTCTGTGTCCCAAGATAGGAAACAAAAAATCTTTAGATTTCATAGATACCAAATGGGGAAAATATATATATCTTGGAATAAACAAAATACGCTAATGGTAACAGTAAGATATTTAGGACATACTATGTGCAGGCGCTGTTTTTAGCATTTCACATATGTTGCTTCATTTTATCCACACAGTGAATCTGTGAGATGGAATCTATTATTGTTCTATTTTATAGACAGGTGCACCGAGACTCAGGCAGCCCAGTGCCCTGCCCATGTACACACAGCTTCTAAGTGGCAGAGTCAGGATTTGAACCCAGTCCCTGTAGCCTGGCTCCATGCTCTCAACAGCTCTGCAGAAACTAAAGTTAGAATGGAAGACCACTCATTCCAAACCTGTCCCACTGTCCAGCATGTCACTGAGAAGCCCACGGCCCATTCCAGAAAGTTCAGGGGCTGCCAATCAGTTTGGCTATAGTGACCACTCTCAAGTGTACCGTTAGCTTTTTTTCCTAATTTGAGAAATAAAATAAAATATATCCACAGCAGTTTACAACTCTGTCATGATGTCATTTTGTCAGATGGCAAATTTCTGGAGCGCCACCAATTCAAAAACGCTATGTCGTTACCTGGATTTATGGAGAGGACATCAAATCACTTAATTTTATCACAGCCCACACCCACTAAGCAACTATCACCCACCTACCAGGCACCAGACAGTTGCTGAGGACCAAGATCCAGACTAAACTGAGGGGGCTTCTATTCCCCTGCAGCCTCCATGAACTCAGGGACCCAAAACAAAGAGACCTGAAACTTGAGAGGAAATGGAAGCCGGCTACAGAAGCCCTGCCCTGCGGGTAAGTCTCCTGGATGGTTTATTCTTCTCTGGCAATTTTTCCCCTAGGTATTCACGGCATCCAGGGGCATTTCACCTCAGCAAAGTGATGACGCTGCCACTCAGGTTCCCATGGAAACCAAACTGGGACAAGAGGAATAAAAGGCTCCTCAAGGTCAGTGGTGCAAAGGACATTAGAGACAGAGATGGTGGCAGCAAATCCGCCCAAAGAACAGCCATAGACCGGAGCTCCCTCCCTCCCCTCACCACAGCTCAGGGCTTTGTCACTCCGGAACACCTGGGCCCTGCACCTCAGAGGCTGTGCGTGAGCTTCTGGGCAGAGAAGCGTGGGCCTCCAGGGAGGTGCAGGCGCTCCTGGCTCCTGGCTGCCACCTGGCCCAGGCCCAGCCTGTGTCTGCTTCCAGAGCCACGTGCTGTCTCTGCTGGGATGAATGCATGGCCCCTGTGACCTTCCCGTCCTCAGAGCCCACAAGCTTCCGAGTGCGTCATCTTCATTACTGGCCGAGGGAAATGACTTCCTGGAGTAAGGGACTGCTGCTCCCAGGCCCATCTGGACAAAAGCAGGATGTGGGAGGGACACAGATCCGCAGACCCGGAGCCCTGCGCCCCAGCCTCCCTTCCACTGCATTCCCTACGGGCCCTTCGTTCAGTCTCTCCGTTGATTTCTCCCTTTCTGAATGGCCCGACAGAAAGGCAGCCCCTTATTTCCAAAAGCCTTGTTTCTCAGAAAACCTTTCTGCCTTCTAGAAACCCAAGACTGTGAGGAGGAGGAGGAGGAGGAAGGCTGGCCATTCTCTTGGGACTACTGATCAGGGCTGTCAGTTCCCAGCTCCTTCCAGTGCCCTGGGCTGGGGACAGTCCTCACGCAGCCTCGAGGACCTAGATGCTGTCACTGAGTCCTGGCCAGTCTGAAAACCTGGGATGTCAGCACCACGGTGAGAGCAAAGTCTGCCCGTGGCCACGACAGGCAAAAGACATGTTCACTCTTTCCCGTCTCAATATTCACTACGGGGTCCTTCCCAGCCCAATGTCGGTATCTGAGCATCACTGCGGGGCTCTGGTCTCCCCAGCCCAGGCCCTGCCTCCTGGCCCTACCACCGGAAGCTTGAGCAGATCTGAAGCTCACCTTAGGGGAAGACCCCATCCAAGGGAGACCCTGTCTGCAGAAAACACAGAACGTGGCTTCTTCTCATTTGTTGTTAGGGCCAGTGCCTACGGAATAAAAAACAAACAAAACAGGCTATAAACAGAAGCATTGGTGGCAGCTTGGGCCAGCAATTATTAGAGTTTTGGTTGTACTTGGATCTGGGAAGCAGAGGCCAATGCACCCAAAGTGAGACACCAGGGTTGGGCTGTAACCCACACCCTAGGAGACGCTTTGGGAGACTCAAACTGAAAGCCAGTTGTGTTGAATTTGGGGAAAGCGAGTGGGATGATGGAGTTAGGAGCACGGTCATTAACTGGTCATTAGTTAGATATTAACTAGCCATTAATTAGTCATTAACTAGATTTTCAAGAAAGCAACAAGCCCTCTGTGTCCGAAGTTGTAAGGGGTGGGCTGCCCGGATTGTCGGTGGCTGCTCCAGCTGTATTTGTGATTCACATTCATTCATTTATGACATGTCTGATCCCTACCTCAGGGACCTGGCCTCCTGTTAATAAGCTCTCAGATTCAGGGAGAGGAGTCTCAGAGAACTCCTCACCTGTGTGGGCCGATGGATCAGAGCAGAACAGAGTCTCCTTCTCTGCCCTACTCTCTCTCTCACTTGCCTGCTCAGAGGTTCCCAGCCGACTCCCCAGCTCCCTCTCTGCCCTCCTGGGTGCCATGGGCCCTCAGCCAGGGAAGCTGGTGCCCTTACTTGTCTCCCATGGTCCTCTGCCCTCTGGGCTCCTGTGGCCCCTCTCTGCTTTGGGGACTGTCCAGTCTTCCCCATCCCTATTCTTTCTTCCACAAGTCCCCAGTGGCCCAGGCTCTGGGAAGGAGCTGCATTTCCAGCCACTGCCCACATTGCTTCCCCAGGGCAGCGGGAGCTCACCAGTGTGCAGGCCCAGTCCTTGACAGCCTGAGGCTCATCTCCACGACCTTCAGGGGCTGCCCAAGGCAGCGCTATCTGCGTCACCCACAGAATGGAGGGAGACCACAGCTCTCCACACAAAGGCACTGAGAAAAAAAGAGTACCTGGAAGCCACTCAGGTCTCAGAGCAGCAGCAAGTCGTGAGCGCTCATAACAAGCCAGAAGCCCAGAAAGTAGCATCAGACATCTCAGGTTAAAAAAGAACATAGAGGGCGGGGCATGGTGGCTCAAGCCTGTAATACTAGCACTTTGGGAGGCAGAGGTGGGTGGATCACAAGTTCAGTAGATCGAGACCAGCCTGGCCAACATAGTGAAACCCTGTCTCTACTAAAAATACAAAGATTAGCTGGGCATGGTGGCATGTGCTTGCAATCCCAGCTACTCGGGAGGCTGAGGCAGAAGGGCAGAAGAATCACTAGGACCAGGGAGTCAGAGGTTGCAGTGAGCTGAGATTGTGCCACTGCACTCCAGCCTGGTGACAGAACGAGATTCCATCTCAAAAAAAAAAAAGAACATAGAGCCTGTCACCTCCCACCCTCCCCATTCTAGTCAGTTCAGGCCACTTTGGTCCACACTAGGCATGTGCGGTGAGCATGCTAAATGCTGTGTGTACACCATTTCTCGAAATACCTCCTGCAACCTTATGAAGTTCTCTCCCAATTTAACCAGCAGTAACCAAACTCAAGTCATTTACCCAATGGCACATGTCAGGAAGATGTAAAAGAATGGGGCTTCGGTACCAGGATTGATCCCCAAGATCACGGTCTTTCCCTGCAGCCCCCTTCCCCTCCTGCTTCTGGGGAAGACACTCTGCATGCAGGCCCCAGGAGACCACAGGCCCTGGACTCCCAGAGCTCAGCAGCAATGCAAAGCCGCCCTCAGAAGAGCTGCCCAGGACAAATGCAGCTGCGGCCCATTGCTCATTCCCTGCAGGGGCGAGGGCAGCTGCCCACCGGCCCAGATGGACACAGAAGGTCACCATGTGGCCCACTGGCTCTGCAGGATAGCAGGCAGGAGGTGAAGAGTCTGAGCTGGTGCCTCCACCTCCCTCTTCTAGACACTGAAAACAGGATTCTCCAGGGTTCACGCCTCAGCGTCTGGTTCAATGCGGGGCATTTTGTCGGGCAACAAGCCAGCAGCCATGCAGGAGCTGCACCTGCAGATAGGTGATGCACTTCCTTAGTGTCCACACAGAGCAAAAGGGATCCCCTTCCAGCTTGAAACTGTCAGGTTGTCTAAGAGGTCCTGCTACAACCCATCTGAACGCAGGAGGGACTGTGGCTTCTCTGGAAACACGACACCTCGGTGCAATGAAATGACAGCTGCTTCTTTTCAAGAACTGGGCTGTTCCCGTGTAAAGTTGGCTGCAATGGGTGATGTTTCTGACTCATACTCTGTCTTTAAAAATCAAAGTTTTTGTTAGAAACCAGCTTTGTTTTCCTTCTATTTTCTATTTGAAAAGTGAAGCATTAACACGAAGGAGCGTCCCAGCTGAGATCATGCCGGGTCTCTGGCTGCAGGTGGCCTGTGGTACCAGGATATCCAGGGAGCCTTTCAGAGGGGACACTTCCAGCTACCATGCAGATTCATCATGCATCCAGCCCCCCTTGCACCAGACCTGCCTGTAGTACCCTCAACGCGGGGCACTGGGCAGCTACCCTCAAACACCCAGAGGCCAAGAATGAGAGGGAGCTCACTCACCCTCCTTAGTCTATTAATTAACACAAAGAACTCCGGAGCCTCCTACACAGGAACCCACTCCTTAGAGGGCACAAGGAGCTAAGTTTTGTTTGAGACAGTGACCTGGTATTGGAAGGGAGAGATGACAGCTACCCTCTGTCCCTGCTTCCAGGGCAGGGCAGAGCAAGCTGCTTTTGGCCCTGTCTCTGAGGCAGACATGAGCAGCCTTCGATGGTGCTATGGTTTGAATGTGTCCCCCTGCAAAATCCAGGTGTTGCCAGTGTGAGAGCCTTAAGAGGTGGGGCCTTTAAGCGGGGATTAGGCCGTGAGGGCTCCTGCCTCATGAATGGAATTAAGGGTCCTCATGAAGGGGCTGCATAGAGGGAGTATATTCACTTGTCCTTCCACCTTCAGCCACATGAGGACGCACGCAGCCTTTGTCCCTTCTGGAGGACGCAGCAGCAAGGCACCATCATGGAAACAGAGAATGGAACGGTCACCAGGCACTGAACCTGCTGGCACCGGGCTCCGGAGCTGTGGGAAGATATATTTCTGTCCTTTCTGAATCGCCCAGTCTCTGGAGTTGTGTGAGAGCAACACGCAATGGATTGAGGCAGCTGGAATGTCAGTTGGCATCAGCCCCCACCCACACCCTCAGGGCGTGCCACGGCGGCCACGCTGGGTGCCTTTCCACAGGTGCCCAGGCGTCAGGAGCACTGGCCCAGTCTCGAGGGGCGTTCACGTCAGGGGGGTGCCCTGGCTAGTGTCAGCTTCAGCGCCACCAGCATCAGGAGGTTCATCTCAACTAGCCCAGGCAAGAGAGGAGGTAGTGAGGTCAACTCCCGCCCGTCCAGAGACTCCCACTTTGGGGTTGAAATCTGAAGGACCTGAGACTCCTAAAGTGAGAGGAGACAGAGCTAGGAGAAGGGAAGGAAGCCAGAAGGGCAGGAGCAAAGGGCAGAACATGAGGGACGTCGAGGGCCAGGCTGGCATGAGCAACAGCTTCTTCTCCCCTGGTCTTTTTGGCCCAAGGCGGTCACGTTCTCCGAGGAACTGGAACTTGCTCCCAGGAAGAGGAAGAGCTCGGCATCTGCTGCTCCCTCCCCTAGACAGCTCATGGGGAAAGTCTTCTCACCCGCCCTGTGCCTTCACACAAGCAATCCTCTCTGCCTGCAATGCTTTTCCTCTCCCTCCTCTGGCTAGTGTCCATGGGTTTTCCCAGATAGATAGAAAGTATTTTAAGGAAGATCTCCCTAACCTCCTCCCAGCTGGGTGGATCCCTCCCTCTGGGCCCCCACATATCTCAGTTCCAAAAGACCATTCACACTATAGTCTAAATTAGTAGATTCCTGGTGTGTGGTGTGTGCAGTTATAATGGGTTGCCTCAGCCCCCAACGCGCCCTTCATTGCCTTCCTCTGTGATAATGCCCCTGGGCCCTGTACCCATTTCTCCCTTGCCAGCTGGCATGACGTTTAACCCTGTGCAGAGGCAGGGGCCTCTTGCTGGTTCTGGCGCTTCTCTCTCTGCTTGCCCTCGGCTGCTGGGAGGACACGGGGGGCACTCCGCACTGCTCTCCCTTCAGCAAATGTTGTTGCCAGTCCCAGCCTGGGTTCCTGGCCTGCTGCTGGCTGAGGAGGGTTTGCCAGTGCCACCCCATGCTTCCCAGTACCCAGCCTTGGTCTGCTGAGACCCAGTGGAAAGCCCATGAGCCGCCACCTCCACCCACATTCCCCTGCTTGCCAACCACAGTCACCCGCTGTGGATCTGCTCCAGAAGCAGAGCTGGAAGGAGGGGGGCCCATGCACGGAGGAGAATATGAAGGGACCTTCTAGAGGTTGTGGCAAACACAGGTGCCACGCCTCCCACTGCCCGCAGTCACTGCCCTTCCCACACGGAGGGTGCTGCCATCTATCTTCGGGGGGCTGTGGCCACCCTGCATCCCCACACCTGGCCCACAGTAAGCTCTCAGTAAGTGTGGGGGTCACTGCTGAAGAAACTAACAAATAATCCTCCCACCACCGCCACAGGTAGCTGGGGCAGAACCAGAGAACTGCTGAAAGGAGGCTGGTGAATCCCGCCATGACATGCCCGCTGTGCCCAGGACCCAGGCTCCCACAACTAGAGTCCTTCCCCCATCCCAGATCCATTCAAAGTGAAGTGCCTTCCATGCAGGCTTCCTTGGGGGCCTTGATCAGTGTCCGTGAGTCCGCCATGCCCCCGTTCACCGAGGGATGTGAGAAAGGGCCTGGCCTGTGGCCCATGGCCGACCTAGGTCTAAGCCCCAGCTCAGTGGTCTGCTAGCTGTGTGACCTCGTGTGGTGGCTCCCCAAGTGTGACTCTGGATGCGCCACATCAGCGTCACCCAGGAACCTGTTAGAGATGCATGTT